TTTATTCTTATCCAAGGTACATAACCGCAGATTCGAACCAAGACGTTTGGGAGTGATAATTTATCACTTCAAATTTATTATTACCTCCTAAACCGGTGAACACTCCGAAGTACAACGTTTGACCTCGAAATGGTGACCACGAGTTTATTATTTTAACGTAATAGTTTTTATTTATTTAAGATTAAAAAAATGATCTTAATTATTTTCCTATTATTTTTTTTTTTTAAATAGTGACTCGACTATTGCGTAAATAGTACAGTTAATTTACATATTATTACATGGCCCCTGGTTTTTATTATAGTTAGTAGTTACTATTGTAAAAATATATAATACAGAACATGATATTATCAAAAGCGTCGAAGGGTAAAAAACCCTTATTGACTGTTTGAGTATTCCAATATATTTTCAATATGTCAAAAACATTTGTTGTTTTCAATTCAATCAATTAGAAATAATAACTGAATTTGAAAACTTAAAAGATAAAAACTATAAACATATTTACATGTCCAATTACTACTCTTGCTACTAAATTGTTTTTATACACTCACAAACGTTTTGTAGCCGTTGTAGTCGCCATCAATATTGTCAATTTTATGGTAAAATACCATTTGAATAATTCACGAGTATAAAAAAATCTGATTATTATACCAAGCCTGCCTAAAATTCCTCCAGTACTTAAAAGGAAATAAGCTTTTGTCATAATAATTGTATTATAATTTTCGAGTATTAACATTTGAGATACACTCAGAATATCATTAACATTCTTAACACGTTCCAATTTTTTGAAGTCTATCCAATTTATGAAGGACTATATTTGGCATATAAAATTAGCTGGTAACGAGAATACTCATTTTTTTAAAAATTGTATGAATTATAAAAATCAAATAACTTAATATATACCTAATATTAATTTGTATTAGAATATTATATAACGGTTAGTTTAGTTACAATAAAAATAAACTTTAGTGAAAACCATAAATATTAACCATATTATTTAATACTTACTTTTTTTTCATTTAATGCTATTTTTGGTTATTGGCCAACTGCTCTTTGAACACATTTGATTGGTCTGGCCACAGATAAATGGACTAACTGAGCTCAGAAAAATGTATTTTAATAATTACGATATAATAGTTATGAATTGAATAGCTTAAAAAATACATCAAGTATATTTTTATGTTAATGGGGATACTTTTAATAAATGTAAATCCTGAGATAGTGCATTAGTGTATTCATTTATGGAATATTCAATATTGTTTTTGGGTTATGTTTACTTTTATTTTTGGGTGTCAACAAAGAATTGAGTTTACAATAAATTTATATTTGAAACTGTTTAAAGATTTTTAAATATATTATGGTGGTCATATAAAATACTCATTAGTATAGTTAATGGAATCACTCAATATATTATAAATGTTTTATTACTTGATAAAATGTTTATAAAATCATAGACAGATAATTCAGAAAGTCAGATAATTAAAATCCAAAAGTGTAAAATTAACATTTTTTTAAATTCATTTTTAACATAAATAATTATTTTAAATTGGATATTGTGTAAAAAAGTATTATTACAAAATGCTCAATATTTTACAAAAGAACCATGTTCCTACCTTTGTTAGAAACAAAAGTTAAAAAAGGAATCGATTTCGTTTGTAATTTGTACGGTAGATTTTGAATTATTTCGGTTGTACCTATTATCTACACTATTTATTGTATTCAAGTTTTGGTACAGCTTTTATTTCCGTTCAAATTGACTTTTGTGACCTATCAAAAAAATGTTTACTTTTTTGTTTAACACTATTTAAAATAACATGTACTGATAAATTACTGTGCGATAGGTGGGGGAAACGCGTCTTTGAACATTTTCGTACCTTCATCCAAATATAGCTGTTTGGTAATGCATGTTTGTAGTGTACAGCGCTTTACAACAGCAATATCAGGCTTTCCCGCATTTCAAATTGGTAACCCTCATATAATACAAATTTACCGCTGCGTTGGCTTAGCATATTAAGTTCCATTATCACCGTAATACTGACTGATTAATATGGATATTTCGTAATAAGCTTACTATTGTATAGTGTGTATTTTATAATTTACAGGTCAAATGTTTGTTTTATGCAACTCATTAGTTGTACAAAGCGCAGATAGCCTTTTTTTGTCCCCTATTATTATTTTCTTTTTCTAATATTTTATTCCAGCTAAGTTATTATGCTATTAAGCTATTAAGTATTGACATAAACACAAGTCAATCGAGGATGATTATTGATTCATAGTGGATAGGTGAACATTTACATTATAATATAAAATAACATTCGTTGTAATATGAATTATTCATTTTGAGGAAACATTATAAAAATATCCACAAACGTTTAGAACCAATTTTTCACCCCTAGAAAATTATTGCTACATTCAGATTTGCATTGTGTATTATTACTATTTTTTAATACGTTTATTTAAAAGAACGCCATACCCTTTATTTATTAAAGAGTTAGATATTATAAGCAATTTTTTTTTGCAAATTTTCAATCTAAATAGGTTGAACTGTGACATAAATTAAATATACACCATATTTAATATAATTATTTATTTAATCTATGACTGTGATGTGTAACTATTAATTTAGGACTCTTTTTTGGTAGTTGGTTTATTTTTTAGACTATCATAGCTACATAGAATAGCATAACTATAATTTTCTCCATTATGGCTAAGTAATATTCATAGACATTTTTTTTTACATCGAAAATAACGATAACTTTATCTAGGTTCTCTTGTCGGCTTTTTTTAATATTACTAACTCAACATTTAAAATGTATATTTAAATTTTGACATTTTTTAAATTTTTTAAATGCTTGACGCTTGTATTATGGTCAAATATAAGTTTTCTAAAAATACCGACAAGAGAACCTAGATAAAGTTTTACTCTTTTTAACGTCATCAATTTGTTTTTTCTGTGGCCATTTTGCTTTGACCTACACACTTTACTATGAACACATTTTTATTATTATTTTAAAGCGTATGACGTCTATAACTTTTTATAAATGTCTGTTATTGCACAACACGTACCTAATCAGTAAAAATTATTAGGCCGGCGTTTAAACAGAAATATTATGTTGTTTTCTACAGAGATATATATTTGCTGATCTATTCCAAAACGATGATCGAATATTTAGGGATATTTATTATCTATAGAACCGTGGAAACCTGAAGAGGTTATGCACTCAATTTTCCAGCGTTAAAACATACATACGCAGAATGTGTTTTACTAAGTTCATGATTGAATTAGAGCTAAAACCCCTAATATGAAATCGAATAATATGAACAATTTGGAGACAATGTCATATCCTTTTATATATAAACACATTTTACTACTTTTTTTAAAAATAGCTATAACTTTTTTTCACGCTATTATTTTCAAAATCGCATATGACATTGTCTCCAAAATGTTGTTATCTTACGATTTCATAATAGGTATTATTGCTCTGAAAAATAACCATGAACTATATATATTGTATACTCTAAAATCAACGGAAAACGCATTCTGCGTAACTATGTTTCAATAAAACAATATTTAAAATCACTGTCAAGGATGCTATGATAGTCCAAAAAAATAAACTAACGCCCAAAAAAGAGTTCATGTACTAAACTAATAACTACACATTACAGTTTAAGCTTTAAACTAAGATTATGCAAAAAATTGCCTATACCTAACTCCTTAATAAATAAAGGGTATGGTGTCCTCTTAAATAAACTTATTAAAAAAAGAATAATAATACACAGTGGAAACCTGAATGTAGCAATAATTCTAGTTATATATATATAGTTCTAGGGTTGAAAAATTGGTTTTAAACGTTCGTGGATATTTTAATAATGTTTCCTTAAACTAATAAATTACATTACTACGAATTTTATTTTTATATTATAATTTAAACGTTCACCAAGATGAAGGTGTCCTACAAAGTTTCGGAGACAATGTATGGTATTTCTTTATCTTGGTAATCTTATAATTCAAGTAATTCTATACATGAAGCATTAATGGGAGCGATTTTAATTTTTTTTTAACGCATCATAAATAATATAAGCTCTCGACCACTTAAATGTAATTAGTAAGCTTTAAGGGCGACTGATAAAACATGTTATGACTTATGCAATTTTAATTATCGTTTAGTTATTTTAACGTTAGGTAGTAGCTGAAGTAATGAAAAGGCTGTAAATTATCGTATAAATATGAATATGAAAGTTTTATCAACTTCAGTCATAGCAATTTTTAAAACCCTGTGATACCTCAGACCTTACTATGCTGTCTTTCTTATTAATAAATTTAATGAAGCCTACAATACTTAACACAAGTACAAAATCAAACATCTTCAAGTTGCAACATTCAACAATATAAGCAAAGTTATTTAATTTATCATTTTTGGAAACATAGTACTCGTACAAGAATAACAAAAATAACCATTAGTGTAATTCAAATTAACGGATACTCGGAATAAGGAATGCGGTTAAAGTTGTTCGATTTCTTATCCGTAACGTGTATTTAACATGACTTCTGAGACATGGTTAGTATTGCTATAATATAATTTTAAATCAAATTAAACAGCTGCAGTAATTATCATCAGTGTTTTTTTAGGCTCTGAAATTTAATTCCATTTCAACGTGTGACTAATCATTATTAGTAGGTATAATATTTCCATCCAAAGTAAAATATGTTTATACTTTATTATTTACTTAGAAAACTGTACTTGAATATTATTATTATTATTTTTTTTTATAATAATATACACCACAACTGGCCAGAGACGATACACACTGTTCGACATGTGGGAAGTCATTAATATTATACAGATGAATTAATTTTAAATGTGTATTTTTTCCCCACTAAAAATCATATTCGCTAGCGTTATCTCTACTGAAAATTATCTCACGAGCCGTGAGTCGCCGGCAAAGATGAGGAAGGGGAAGTCTATAGGGCTGTCCCGCCTATTATTAGGTGTACGCCGATGTGACACCTGTTACTGGCACTGGCATGGCATAGGAGCTCAAATGCATTGCACGGTGTATACAGTGCGCGTGTTTCCGTTGGATTCTATTGATCACAAATTCGTACTGCAAACAAATTGTTGTTTTTCTACTTTGTAACTACATTTAGAAACCGACCGAGAAAAACCATATACTCTTAAGACTTCATCATGCCTAGATCAAAAGGTGAGATCATTATGTTAACGCACGTTAATCCAAGTTTTTCTTAAGAAATGCACGCACAGCAATAATAATAATAATATACTGAAACCAAATATCAAATTACGCAAAATTCCAAAAATTAAGTCTTTTATTTTATTTTGATATCGGTACAAAAAAAAAATACTAACCGCGCTTTCGAAAAAATGATATTACTTTTAAGTTTCTCGAGTGTATATTATTATTGCTGTAATAACATTATTCTCAGCGAAATTGATTAATTGAAAAGCTAAACGACAACACAAACATTTTTTATCGAAATATTATCGTTGCATTTGAACGAAAATCATATAAGGTCAGCCAACTGTACATTGATAGTTCATATTATTGTTTCCTGTTATTTTACAAGTTAAAATGTTTTTTTTTTAAATTATTTTGAACACTTATCTCGTTTTAGTAATTAATACTCGCACCCATCCATTATTAAGGCCAAATAATTGTAACTAGATTACTCAAATACATGATATAAACGCTTAGTATAATATTATAGTAAATGCTCATTTTTACATTGAAGGTTAATTTCATTACTATACGTTTTTATTTGGTATAACCAAGATGAAACAATAATGTTATTCACGACCAAAGATGCACGACTGACGCAACACAAATATGTTAAGTATTTCTTAAGGCCTACAATAATAATATAGGTGAATTAGACACAATAAAATTATATATATATTTTTCCTGGGAAAACATATACGATTATTTTCGCCGACGACCTGCTACCTAACTCTTATATGAAATCATAAAGAAGATAGTACACAAATTACTATGTCAAGTTGACCGTTAAAAACATTAAATAATTTATAAATAAGATTCTTAATATTTTCCTATTAGTAATATGTCAAACAACAATGACTCTCGACAACAGCTATACAATGATCTTGTCATACATGTTTAAAAATAATTATGTTGTGTTATACATTTTCTCGGTTTTACATTCAGACAACAGCGGTTATTTATGTGAATTGAATTTCACTAGCAGTACAAGAATAAAATATTATTCACAGGCAGACTAGAATGCAATTATTGTTGTTAAAATATACAATCTATAATGTGTGCAAGTAAAAATTGTATTTTTAATCACATACAATAGTTTATAGTACTATATTATTAAAAATGAGAAAATCTTTAACCTTTCATTGGATAATAGCTATTAAAACGTTTTAATAATGTAATCATGTTATAATAGACCATAAACATGGCACAAACAAATCCAAAGACATGTAGCTGTATAAAAATTACATAGAAGTATAAATATGTCTTATAAACAACATTCGATTCATACTGTTATCACGGGTCGATTATAACGATTACTTAATTATTATTGTTGTTCAGTCATAATTAATTATTGCATTAAGATAATATAATGTGCGCTGCCAATGAATAAATTGATGCAACGGAAAATATTCTACGCATCTAAGTCCCAAGTTCAGACACAGAGTGTCATTGGATTTAGAGTAATGTTGTGTTTTTTTTTTTTTTATCTAGCCTTAATGCTAAAATTTAGGTCTTTGTAAAATTCCACGGCTATTTACATTTTTTATGTAGGAATACTAACAATTAGAGAGGGCTATTATTATATATAATATGTGTACAACTGTTTCCGCAAAAATGTAATACAACGGAACACTTCTATTTTATTGTCCGACAAAGAAGTACAACCTTCAGAAAAAAACACCGAGTGCATAGATAAGGCAACGAAATTCGTTATGCGTCTTGTTTGAAATGGTTTTTTTTAAGCCGTTACTATTATTGTAGGCAACACAATAAAAGTACACTTGCTCGCTTTTTTAAAAATTATCTCGAGTATACTGAAAATTGCGTTTGGAATTCGTTTTAAACTTAACCGCAATGATATTTTATTATTATGAAGGCATTTCTATTTTTAATTTCCTATTTCTATTATTATTTAACAATTAGTATTGATGTTTGTGTTTTAAATTCACCGTTGATTGGCGTCATTAAAGGGCAGGATAATTTATTGACTTGCAAAACTATATCCTGCAAGTTGTTATAGAGCCCGTAACTTCAACCAAAGATTAAATAAAATATATCAATCGTATTTTATTAAATTAGTATTTTACACTATAATCAATGTTTCTAATATACTTTATGACACTCAGAGTCAAGGCCCTGTGTTGATATTAGGTCTGTACAATTATAATTAATGTAGGTATTTTATAAAAAAAGAAAAAAGAATCAATTTCTTAAGGTTGCCAAAACTATGAATGCGGCCGTATTAAATAGTTTCAAATATCTAAAACTGTAAAATGTAGCATATTTTTCATAAGTTGTCTACTTTTAAATACTTTAATTATATGAAGTAATGAGTTTATTTTTGAATTTACGACGTGTTTAAAAGAGATAAAATATTATCGAATTGTTAATATAAATAAAAAATGCAAGTTTTTATCGAATAGTTGACATTTATTTTAATGGTTTTTTCTAGTTTAGCTGATAAATTGTGTATTAAATATTCATATTTTCTTTATTGTGCCATGAAATCGATTTAACTTATAATTTTGGTATAAGTAGAAAATAGACCCCGGACCGAATGGCAGAAACTCATTAATACTAAGTGTACGTTATGAGCCTTATAGTGTCCTCTCCTTGTCCGGTGAGTTTTCGTATTCCAAAAATAAACAGTTGAGACGAGCGTGTTTAGAGCTGCCAGATAATAAGCACTCATCCGATTCTTCGTATTATGATTGTCTTAGTCATCTTTAACATAACTGACTTTAAAATTTAAACTGAGAACGATATAAAAACCGTTTTATGTTGGAAACAACCACTTACGCCTTAGTAATAACCTCATACACGTTGGTCAAGTGCTATAGGTCCATCAAATTATAACGGTTACTTTACCTCCGTTTTAACCCCTAAAAGTAATTCCTTGAGATTTTACAAATTGCAGTTGTATTTAAATAATATCGTATTGTTTTATTCAAAAACAGTTTGGACTTTTTACATTTATTTTAATTAATTTAAGATTATTGCACAATTTAATATGCACCAATAACAAGAAACACGTGTACTCGATGATTTTTAAAAGTAACAAATTTGTATAATTATTATATTACTATTTTTAGTTATTGGTATTAGTATTTAAAAAGACCCAACACCGTAACAGTACATACTTTTTTTTTTTTTAGTTGTATTATGATTGAAAGTCTTAATTTTTGGTGTTATCAGGTAGAAAATAACCTAAATATAATTAAAAGCTAAATATTATAATTTGTATTTTTATACTTGTGCATGGTATTTGTAATAATATGTTAAATTATGATTAAATATATTATATTTATAAAAATATTTATAATATCACTTATACATTATATTGTTGGTTAAACAAAATATAATATTAGAACTATCGCAGTGGAATTAGGACTTGCCGTTTTTGATAAACCGTCCAGAGTGAAACAACAAGCACTATGTATTTCTATTATAAAACATTTTATTTTAATTATATAGGTTAGGTATTTTGTTTAAATTATTGTTTGCTCCTAGGGATGTTATCAACGACCGGCGGTGCTATACATTCAGTTTTTTCACACCTGCGTGAATATTTACACCGACCGTGTTTACTCAAACAAAACAAATGTTCAAAATGAGCGCATTTTAAGTACAACAATGACAATGCCTTCCCCATTATGTAGACTGTGTAGCGCTGAGCGCGTACGCGGTACACTCTCTATGACGGAGTACATATTATATTAACCACAACGTGTAATAATTGGTCAATTATTTTCAAATTACAATACTACTAAAAGTATCAGTTTATACACCTGTATAAAAAATACTAATAATTACAATCTTGTATTTATTTAAAAATCAAAAGTACATATTTTGTACCCTAGTAAGTAGTATTGAAAACTGTTCAGTATAACAGTTACAAAAACGTTCAATTCATCTCTTTAGTCTCTCTCTGTAGTTTGTAAAAATTATCTGTTTAATTATCAATTACAGTTCTATAAATACAATTCTTACTGTACATGTTGTGACGTCATCAGAGAATGAATAAACTCCGGGACTGAACACTCGATCTTACGCTTTGTTTACAGAAACACTAATTTAAAAGCGTAGGAAATTACAGGACGGTCTTGAACGTTTGTAAGTCTTCATACACCGTCCTGGGAATTTAGTGAGATCTTAAATTTTTTGTGCTGTTAGGGAAATAGAAAATTTATATATAAACGGTTTTAATGACATTTTATTAAAACAATTATAAACCAAAATATAAATAGTGATAAACTGAGGTTATTTTTTTTGAAATGGAAGTTACAAAATGTCGACCATTATGTTTAACTAAAATTTAGCAGCAGCTGTTCTTAACTATTTTATTACTTTGTAGTGGTAACTGATGAACACTTTATAAACATTGACAACAAAAGTTTAAATAAAAGTAAATCGTACCACTACAATAAGTGTTATAAGAAACTTTTTAATTATACTTTAATTTTGGACAGTCAGAGCTGTGTAAGTTTTCATTTGTTTCAATTGTGATTAACGCTCAATCGTTGAACGTTTTTAGAGGTCTTATAAAAAATAAATCAAGCATTAGCAACTATAGAAGTTATAAAAATTAAATAACTTTAGCTTTATCGTAGACAATATTGAATAAGTATATTTCTGTATAACTAGAACTAGGACGTAATCAGGTTCAGGTCATATTTGGGAGCCGCGTTGTGATCTTACAGTTAGCAGCTATTTAAGTTTTGCAAATGGAAATGTATTCTGTAAACCATATTATTCATTTTGATTAGTAAAGTTTTGCAGTTTTTGTTTGTTTCATATGACCATATTAGCATTTCAAAGCGTGCGTGTTATACGGGTTAAACGTTTAATATTCATTAAATGAAAGACAATATCTGAGAGAACTTTAGAATACCTATAAACATGATTTTTTCCTCAAGTTTTTCTCAAGTTAGTGGTCGCGTTAACTTTATATTATTTATAAATGTGTTATTATTTATTATTCACAAACAAATGCTTTAACACTCGTTTCATTAGTTTTTTATTGTCAATGTGTTTTCACTGAGCATTTGTTGCTATGTGAAAATAAAAATGAATACAATAATATATGTGTGTGTGTGTACCTACATATATTACATATGTGATATGCGGCAATGTTGTTTTTTCACTACTATGCAAATACCGCTATACAGGTTATGGCAATATGAAAATTAATACATTGTATACATGCTGCCGCCGGTGACACTTATGTACGGTAGCATTTTAGCTGTGTTTAATGTGTTGTCAACATTATTGGGTTTACCAGCTTGTCGTTCTACGACTATCGCTTTACGTTTAATAACCATACATAGGATTAGTGTACACCTAATATTGTACTTTAGCGACTATTTAAAAACATTGTGTTCTATAGATTATAATAAGTATTGTTATAAAACAAATTCTCGCAGTTTTTAACGCTGTTCACTGTTGTAAAATAATTTTAATTGAATTTTAATTTTAGTTGTACATGGTATGATCACAATGGACGACGTATCCGACAACAACAAAATATGGAGAATGCTGCTGGCCGAGTTCCTAGGCACGGCTATGCTTTTGTTCGTCGGCTGCGGTAGCATAATGTGGCTGAACGGACAGCTCGGTTCGTCTGGTGTTATTCAAATCGCTTTAACGTTTGGATTTATAATCGCTACTTTGGTCCAGGTAACCAAACACCCATTACTAGGCTTTTGAACTGCTTAATTAACCGTTAGTTAGTGTTCTGTATAAAGTTCACGCCAATAGAACGGCAGATGGCAAATACAGGTTTTGAAAAAAAAATAATATATAATTCGGGTTCTATTAAACACAACGATATTCAAATATATTGTAATATTATTGTTGTAATACGGCACATAATTTGTACCATCTGCTTTTACAGAGGCGTTTGATATCAAAAAATATAAATCAAATGTAGCTTTAACAACAACCTTATACAAAAACAAATAACGATGTTTTTGACAATATAGTATGTAATCAATTAAAACTATTATTTCTAAAAAGGTAATAATAAATAAATTGGTATGGTTTTAAATTTGATTATTTTATTTTCCAATTATTAGAACAATAAAGTAATTAGCCGATAATTGTATCGCTGATTGGTCTAAAATTAGTATAGCTTAATAGCTTGTTAAATATTAATTAATGGTTACTAATAAGTAATAATCCATGATTACCTATTGCCAGTACTACCTAATGTACCTATACTATCATACAAATTAGGAAAAAAAATAATATTTTATTTTTCCTCCAAAGTAGTTACGTTTTTTTTTAGAATTATAGGTGCAGTTCAAATCTTAAAGCCGGGTACTAAAATTGAACTAAAAACACATACTGTTAGTATATGTAGTATACTAGTAGTAATAATAACATATAACTGTAGTTTTATAGTACTATAAGTATCGAGTATTTATGATATTTAGCATATAAAAAAAATGTAAGTAACATGTGTTTCATTGGTCGACAAAGTATTCACAAAAAGCACTAATTGAAAACTATATCTCAGAATATAACTTTGTAATTTTACTAACGTATGACGATTGTATCTACAGTTGAAAATACATAAAATATTTTAAAGAATACGTATGACGAAGTTTTTGTTAAATTATTTTCCAAGATTTACCGTATCAATGCCTTATTCGTGTGACAAAATAGATATATATATTTTTTTATGCAGTGCCTACCATATTTTACTTACACTTGCTTTCAAGTTACGTATTTTTAAACATCATATTTTCAAACACGGGAACAAAAGGACATCTTACATTGAATATAGTTTTAAAAACAACAGAAACATACAATTTAAAAGAGTTAGTTGCACGCACTACTTATGTTTTAATATTTACTAAATTCAGTACCTAATAAAACATATTCATGAATGAGAAACGGCATAATATACAGCGTTTCCTAAGTTTAATCAATTTTAATAAACGAATGTTGTTAACATTTTTTAAATTGAATAACGAGGAATCGACCTGTTTAACTGTCATTATTAATCAAATAGTCATGATTTATGGCTTAATTTAAATTCGATTTTCGTTTGACAAACACTTGATTTTACAATGATTTTTTGTTGTAAACGTCGTTGTGTAAATTGAAAATTTAGTTTAAAAAAAAAATTATATATATATATATATATATATTTGTGCATGTGTTAAGACTTTAGTTTATGGTTGAAATATTAGGTGACGAAAATACATGTATGATAATTCTGTGCAGTGTGTACTTATTATATTATTTTGTTTTTACTATAATATCTATTTTAGATTTTTGGTCAAACCAGTGGGTGTCACATCAACCCAGCAGTCACGGTTAGCTTTTTGATCACTGGCCAATGCTCGGTTTTGAAATCTGCTCTTTACATTGTGGCTCAATGTTTGGGTGCTATTGCCGGTGTATATCTTCTTAATGTAAGTTTTTTTAACGTCTATGATTAATTTTAATTTGTATATGTTGTTATAGTTTTTTTTTACATTAATTTAAAAATACTCATGTATATTTTACTGAGTGTGTTACACCGTCTGACAAATTTATTTTTTTTTCCATGAACACTAATAAATTTGCTTAGCTCATCATATAAATTGTATTCATACCTCAGAGTAGATGCATTTTAATTGGGATTTTCCACCATAGATTTACAAGCTTATTATATACTACGACGAGGACAACCTTCATCTAAATTATTATCGGCCTTCTATGTTTCCATTTAAAGTTCAAAATGGATATTATTTTTAATGGCATGTATATAATAGAATAATACCATATTACATATTTTCAAAACAATTATAAGCCTAATATTATAAGTCAAATTATAGGTAATTAATTTACATTTTCCTCCGCCAGTGTCAATGCCAAACGGCAATTATAACTTTAATTGGCGCTAAGCTTACTTAAAATTTTCTTATTTTATTGTAGTGATTCGTATTTAATCATTCGGATTTTTAACATATTCTTGTAAAATATATCATATTAGTATTTTCATCACAACACATTTCCAACGTGTAGAATATTTTTTGTTTCACATTTTACTGCATAACGTTATACATGTAAGTTTTGTCATCAGCTAGGCAGCATCATGTTTATGGGTCATGAGGTTTTTTTTTCATTTTAGGCTTCTTTGATGGTAAAAGAAAAACGTTGTTATTATTTTTCTGTAGTATGTTTTAACGTGACATCTTATAGCATAAAACTCGTTTTGATGATTACGAGTTTTCTTTATTGGTCTTTTATTCAACTTGTGGTTTAACTTTTATTATTATTGAATTAAAAACAGTTAAGATGTAATATAATATATATATATATATTTTTTTTTTATGTGCCAAGAGTAAAATAATTTTTGTTTTCTTAAAGTTTGTCACACCGAACGGAGTAACTAAAGGTTTGGGCAAAACCAATATAAGTGAGCAACTAGACTCAAGTCAAGGATTCGTAGTCGAAGCCACAATTACTCTTATACTGATATTGGTCATTCATTCAGTGTGCGACGAATCCAGCAAAAGCAGCATTGTAACTCCATCTGTCTCCATCGGTCTTGCCATAGCCGCCAATCACTTAGCTGCTGTAAGTACAAACACAATAAGTTACACAATTATTATCGAGTCCGTATGTATTTCAGGATGCATCCGTGTCATTTATCAGGATTAACATTAAAACAATGCACATTTCCATTGTGACTATTGCGTCAAATGTAGGTAATAATATTTTACGGCGACATAAAAACAATCGTATACTCGTCGAACAGTTAACAATATTTTTTATTTTTATGGTTTTATTATCATGACTCTAAAAGTCGTTCTATACCTGTATAAGTTTAACTGTAACCGTTGCATTGGGAAAAAAACGTAAACGATGCGCGACACCCCTCAATCTATTTTAACATGAATGACACATGTATAGGTACAATGACTAATATCAAGTGTAAACGCTAAAACTAGGACGTGTAGGATGTGATAATTAGTTCAGAAATCATTAGTCCTTACTCTGTTTTCAATATTGTACAACGGCAGGTTCTTTTATTAAAAGTATTTTAAAAGTTAAAGCTTAGACGGATGTAGTATACTAAAAAAAAATGTTATTATAAATCAATCACGTTAAGTGTTCTTTTTCGCTTACAAATTGCAAATATGTGATTTCAGGCATTTGTCATTGTCTAGTCAAAGTACAAATTAGATTATAAAATAATAAAGTAACTTTGTTATTTTACAAAACTTGTTAAGTTAACGTTACTCTGTCGTGAAAAGTAATTAGTTAATCGTTGAGTTAATAAGTTTGCACAATGATGGCCTTAAAAGTAACCATTTAGCCAGGAAAAATAATGCTTCCAATTTGACTTTAAAAATTGTCCAACCTTTTATGCTATATTATAATATAAGTTATTTAATGTAATCTTTAGATACGAAACTTTTTAAAAAAAGTACTAAAACTTGAACGAGTCCCTAATACTTAAGACTTCTTAATGACTATTAAGATTTCAAAATAAATACCGGAATAATCGTTATTTTTCAATGTTAAACGAGGAACTAATTGCTATTAGCTGTGTTTGCCCTAGTTTCCGACCATTATTCATAATGGTATAATAATAATACTGTATTCAGATAGAAAAACAATACAAAATTAACTGCCAATCGTTCTCATACGACCAAATAGTTATAAAGCTTAACAAAAGACGTTGGTTTTTAATTGAAACCTCAAAGTCCACAAGGATACTTATTGTTCTATAAAATAGTAATAATAATAATTGTTGACACTCGACACCGGTTACGTTATTGATAACTCGCAATGAAACACCTTCATAAAAATAATTACTGGAGCCACGGGGATGCTCGTTTTTCTTCTGTGTATGTTTAATTTATCTTTTTAAATTCAAATTTTTTTTACAACTGGACAAATGAATCCGAATTAAAAAGGTTAGAGACTGAGGGTATAAAAAACAAACCTTGGGATTTCATGGTCTTTTTATTATTTTCCTCGTTGAGCGGTTTGTGCTTGGCAGCACAGCAAACATATTATACGTCTAATGTATATACTATATACGTATAGTTAGCGTACTTCGGGATTGCGTGTACACTGATAACCGCGAAGCGACATTATCTCGGCTATTGATGTAGATAGTACATGGAAAACAACCATTAACTTTGTAGAAACCACGTTTTTGGGTGTGTTGGGATTGTCCACACAATTGAGACGGTGACGGTACCATCTCTAGCTTCCGCGATACCATCTCTACTGTAGCTCTAAGGCGGTTTTAAATACGAATGTCCAATCCAAAGTTTACCTTGGGCTTTCAGACGTTAGGACCCGTTCGTGTCACCGAATCCGTTCCAAACGATTCATCAACGGTACTTTGAGTTGTTCGAAAAATAAGCTTTAACCGTCGCAACTAATTTAATATGGCTTTCAAAGTATGTATATCGCAATGGTGTACAATACTAATAATATGATGTATTACATTTCTTGGGCGTGTGCTAATCGATTAATACTAGATTTACTGTACGAGCATCCAACCGGTATAGCCTAACCTCTGAGAGAGCCAAACCGCAATTGAACATTTAAAGAGAACCGCTGTTGCGACAATAATATAGAACGACTTAAGCAATTCGCTGTCAGCTTATTATTCGACTATCAATGACAAACGTGCCTACATATGCACCAAGAGGTTAAAGTAGTTGTAATTTTAGATGTAATTAATAATTTTTTCCATTGGCGAATATTATAATTTAGTTAGACATTTGGCCAGTAAATCAAATATTGTTTAAGTTTATTAAGTTCTTAATGCGTGGTTTGCATGACGTTTAAAAGCATCAAAAACTAAGTGTCTCTCAGCTCTCTACTATATTATGTAAATATATTGGAACTCAAAAATATATGTTGGCAACTAAAACTTATAGTTATATTGGAAACTCAACTGGAATAATATCATTTTGGGCTTCAATAGCACGGAACTCGATTATACCTAGGTGATTTTTCGCACTTGACTAGATGTGAGATATTATGAGAATTCGGGTAATAGCGTTCCAGCTGCCATGCCTTTCTTAAATTAAATACAATTCGATTTGGGTAAGTTTAAGTACATTCTATATAGTACTAAGGTGGTAGAGGTGGGGAGTAAAAAAAAAAAAATGTTCGACACCCTTCATCGAAAATATAACAAGTGCGCCACCGCATGTTGCCCGAGTTTAAGTAAAAGTAATAAACATTACTATGACGCCGGTTTGAGTATCGCATGAAATTCCTTACTACCCGTCGCTGAATATTGAGGTAATACTATTATATATATTATCCTGGGAACCCGTCACGGTAGCCTCTACTGACGCGTAACACGCGGTGTGACGTCATGTACATTGTTTAATATATAATAATTTGTTTTTCCTATTTATTTTCTCTCTCTCTTTCGATCTGACCTATCTAGTGGAAAAAAAGAGCGCATAATATTATTATAAATAAACAATAGAAACGAGGTCAATAATGCACGGTGCCGGTCGACGGTGTAGATACCGTGAAGAGGCTCAGGAAATGCCGATTTTTTTTTTTTTGTTGATGTACTACAGCAAGTGCGAAGGACGTGTGTGTGTGTGTATCGTCAGGATGAACCGAACGACCTTTATATAAAAAAAAATTCACTGTCAGCTAGATTAAGGCACGACGTACGCCTGTAAGAGTATAAAAATATAATAATAACAACAACACAATATCATCATTATGATAATAAATCAGTAGACAGATTTATTTAACGCATCTACCAGACATATTGTGTTGATGGCATATTCTGTGCGTGTAGGACCGTGAGCTCTGGAAATCTATCAAGAGCTGACGTTTTCTCCATTACCCAATTTTGTACTTAAAGTGTCTCGCGATAAATTCGGCCGTTACGTACCTAATATGTTAATACGTATATCTATATTGTAATATTATCATGTACCGGCTATTTTTGACTATACAGCGACCGTTTTCTACCCTACTCATTGTGTCAAAACCGCCGGCGCGGCGTTGTAATCAAAATCAAAACGCTCTTTTTGCTCCTTTGCACGCCGTAACCGTTTGAGGAGATTACACCCGTAGACTTATTTTCTTCTACACGGAGTTCTCCACCGCGTATGTATACATATTATACTCTTCTTAAGCTGTTATTATTAAATCCGCCAGTTACATGTATAGTGCAATAGTAAACTGTATAGTTGGCTGCTTGGCTTTATTCCAAGCACGCCGAGTTTTTCCCTTTTCATTTAACCCGCCGTTCCAAAAACTTTCGCCAAAACACTATTCTTCTATGAGAATTATACAAATGTATATTATATTTAAGTACACAAAATGTACGATACGTTTGAAGTACACAAATAATATAGTTTGACTAAATGGTTTTTTTTTAGAACAGCACAACGCGTGCTTTTTTATTTCATTATCTTTGTTGAGCGTAACGCAAGGCAATTAAATTGCCCTACAGCGTATCTTTTTAATGCACACGTATATTATTTTTAATTTCAACCACACGTCAAACCCCATTGACTCATAGCGCCCGATAATATTAATTAGTTTCTCAGTTATTAAATATAATAATGTATAATTTTTAAATTTATATTACTGGCACGCTTTTATTGAATCATATTTTGTGTTATTGATATATTGCCAACCTCTAAAAAAATAATACATTTATAAAATATTTATATACTACACATAATAACTGTAACTATATTTAAAAAAATTATTTACATAAAAATACGAATAAAATACATTTTTCAATAATATTCCTTGAATATTAAAATTTTGAAAATTTTACCTGAATTATTTCCAAACTTTTTCCACGCAGCTAACGATAATATTTTATAATCATTGTTACAATAGTTTTTAATATTGTAAAATGACTTTAAATTTATATTTTGAAATAAAATCCAATGTTGATATCACACAAATTTCAATAACAAAATCTATCCATAAATTGCTGTGAAGAAAAAATATAAAATATAACAACACAATTATTTTGATTTAATTTACATTTGCTATGACTAGTACAATATATAAGATATCATTTTTTTTGTTACAGAGGCCTTTTGTATAATCAAAACTATAAGCAATAATAATTAGTTAGGTATTATAGTAACATAATGATTATACATTTAATATGATTGCTATCGCTTCGACTAATAATAACAAATAATACATACAAGCTACATCTTATAATGAGATATCATAACGTTTTGGTTAGTTTCTCAGACCATATGACTAAGAAAATACGATATAAAGAAACTTATAAATTATGATTTACCGTTTGATTTTTGATTAGATTTTTATAGCGGTAATTAATCATCACCATCTTGATAAATGTTTAGATAAATAAACATTGATTATTTGTTTAGATGTTTATTATTTTTATCCTTTTAAAATACTGGTATAGCTAAGCCGTAACCATACAATTTTCACCATCGACATAATTTCAATAAAAGAAGCGAATAAGTACAGGCTGAGTTATAATATAATTAAATTTTGTATTATTAATAATTAAAACAAATGATAAAAGACAATAACCAAATATAGCTTGTGCTTCCTAATAATCCCATTGTTTTTTTAATTTACATGTACTTCCATACGCATTCACTAATTTGATTTGGCGAGAGGTAAATAAACCTTGACTGGCAATATTAACTAATTATGTCTAAGGTGTAACTTGTCTCACCGATCAGCTGTCAATATCGTGTACATCATTAATAGATATTATCTCTTAACAAATTACTTTCTGGGTGTAAGTTAGAAGATCGACCCTCTTGGTAACGTTGGTGAGGTTATTAATTACTTAATTATATGTTAAATATATGTAATATGTATTATTGTTGCTCAAAGTTTGACCAGTCATATTTATTTTTAATATAGTGGAATCCATTTAATTTATGTAAAGATATCAGAATCCTAAAAATATCAAAAGTATAAAATATAAATTAATATAATTTAATTTGCTTCAACACATTTAGTTGTAATATTATATATTTATTTATAAGTTATAACTATAATCGAATTTAAATATATAATATAAATGTCTTATAAACTGGCATATTTTTCATTCGAGACTCATTAATGGAGAATTGGTTTTAATAGTCCTTATAGAAAATCCACAAACATATGCTTGTACTAAATTTACTTGGGTTTACAGTTTTGTTTAGACAATAAAATATGGTTTTAACCTTTGGATCCGAGCATAAGACATATTACTTGGTCTTGGTAGTTGTAACAGTAACAGTATCCCTAACAATTAATCTCAACATAATTTATCAACTGTTAAGACTAAAAGTTACTTAAAATAATGCGAATTCGGAGTGTTTGTTAACACTACGCTATACTAATAATGTAATCTCAGTAATGCACTCAAATGACCAATCCCAAGTCTATTAAATTTGTTATTAAAATATTAAAGCAATAATATTAAGATTATTTAACTTGGTCGCATTTTAATTTACTATTAATGCGGACAGTCCGCCAAATAAAGGTTTCTCATCATAAAGGTTATATTTTGACAATTAACATAATATTACATAATGTAACGTTAGGTCGTTAGAATCGTAAGAGCGTGTTTACTGTTTACATAAATTATACTTTTACGGTACCGTATTGTTGCGAAAGTTAAAATGAATATTTTCTCATGTTATCTTGACAATGATAACCCGTCATCGTTTCGAAATGAATCAAACATAATATGCAGAAAATTTTCTATATCAATACATTAATTAACATTGATGAGCACTAACGGTGTGGACACTATATAGACGACCATAATATTGACGTCTTCGTTCGGTTTAATATGTCATCAAACTGCTCAGAGGCAATAATATGATGTGCGTTTTAGCCGAATATAAGTATTATGACCTATGACGCGCAGCTGTCAACATAGTAACTATTTTGTGTATGTGTGTGTGTGAGAGAGTAAATCATGTTTTACAGCGCCGGCTTTGAAAAAAAAAAACTACAGTCAATACACGCATGCAACACAACAATTGGATGTGATTATTGTGTTTTCTATTATTCAAATTGTTATCTTGGGTCATATTATTCATACACGCACCGTCGACAAACTTATCTCTTTAGACATATTATCGTTAACAATTCGGTGTTGCAAGTTGCGGCCACGATGACGCGCGTGTCACTCCGTTTGTGATGGAAATAGTCGGACGGTTCTTGATGAGCACTCGCGACTATACGCTTGTTTACTTCTGCCAAGGTCAATCATGAAAACACAAGTTTTTGTACGTCCAAACACAATGGCGGAATGATCGTACCGGATAGTTACTGGCAACGGAAACCGTGCAAAAATATAATCGCACAAGGCGATCGCTGAAGAGCGTTTCATCCACAGATCAAAGTCTCCGGGAATTGAATGAAATAATATTATGATACCAGAACAGCAAGAAAAATAATGTTTTAAAATCATGTTTTGGCTGGAGATGAATGTTAAAACACTTCATCAAACTTGATATTGTTAAAACAACAATATAATATTATGATTATTATTTTTGATGTTATTATTAAAATAACTACGTGTTGTCATAATATTTAAAATATAAGTAAAACATTGGAAACACTTTCATTATACTAAAACATTTTGTGAATAATATTTTTGAAACGTTTATTTTTGTCTGTGTACTCTAAATAGTAGAGTGCGGTTAAGAGTTAAGTTAGATTAAGTTACTTTGTATGTTCTATTCAAACTATTACTAGTCTCGCAACAAGTTCTATTCTCCAACATTAATTTTAATCTCATACAGTTGGGTTGCCTTATTCGATAAGCACTTTTTTTAATATGAAAAAAAGTTTGAATCCGTAATATGCCAGAAATCAAATGTATTCTATTAATAATTGAGTATTTTTAGTTACTTCTTGTTTCTATGCCAAAATAAATTGCTTTAATTGTACTTAAGTTTATTGATTTTTTATGTATGACGAATCACAATAAATTGAACAATAAAATTTAAAACTATTAGTTCCGGGGCAAATAGAGGATTGAATATAATTAACAATTAATTCCAGACCCTCAATTTCAATGTTGTGTTTTTGACATGAAAACAAAAGTATATATTTTAATATTTTTAGCATTAAAATGATTGTAATATATTTATATTTATGTATAATATATTCGTATTAAAATTGCTATGCTAGTCTCCAATATCTAGACCTGATTATTACTGATTTTTTTATTTTATTAATTTGATTTAAAGCGAATTCATTCGGGTTACAATGTATCAATATAATACGTTTTGACTGCGAATTAACGGCAATACTTCTACGGTTTTGGGTAGGAGTTTACGGATTTGTAGATAATTAAGCGGCGGACTAATTGAATGTTTTTTGAGTGAACGGTTTTTCTCTTGTGGGACGGCTTGTTGTAGATTACATATAGAGCCGGCGGAACATATAAAACTGTCAACGTCATTACTGTTTTGCGGAAGTCCAATGAAATTAGAACGTTGATATAAATACAATTAGCCGTAGCTCGCTCCTTTGCACGGATATTATCCTGTGGGAATGGCTGTGAGCGGCGGACGGGGAAAGGATCTTAATAAGTGACGATCGTGTGTTGAATACCATTAAAACGGCAAACACTGATTGGATTCGTATTCAGTTGTGCTGTTGTATGGAATGTACGTGTACGCGTTTATGTGTCCCATGTAACATACCTACACTATTTCGTACACGGTCTCATAACAAATGGTTTTGGGTAGTGCGTGAATGAAACACGGAATTATACAGTTACGGTTACAATTTATTGATTCGCCGACCCGGTGACGGATGTGTGTCGTTATTTCAATGGAGTTGTTTTTGTTTTTCACTCAGATTCAGTCTGCAATGATACCGCGGTCGAGCTTTAACAAGTTTATGTTTTGCGATTGTAAAGAAATTGATTGTTAAGTAGTAGAGAACAAATAGATAAACAAGTTAATAGATGGATTACAAATCAAAACATGAATGAAAATCTAAAAAAAAATACAGAATCTATAACTGATAATAAGTTATGTATATTATCTACAGCATAAATAGAAAATAATTGTTAATTTTGTAGTTACCAATTATTTTGCAAAATAATCCGTAATCTATTATGTGTAGAATATTCCCTTGGATGTTTATAATATGTAGTATATATATTCTTTTTACTTTTAAATCACGGTTTGGTATATTTTTTTTTATATTTAAAATAAAAATGTTTGGAAACAATCGTTTCCTATACGGGTAACTGAACTAAAATTAGTTTACGCCAAGTTGTAATAAATATAATAAAATATTCATATGATATTATAAACGTACAATAAATACATGTAAAAATATACATTGCTAAAGTTTGCAAATCAAAGTTTTTTAATCTGCCGGACATGCGTCAACAAGTTAAATTATTATTCTTACATGCTTAAAAGTTTGTAAAAATAATACAATAACGAAACATCTTATAAAGATAAGAAATGTTACCTTGAATTAATAAATATCAATGATTAATCAATTAAAACACGTTATTCAATATCGAATTTAAATATATATTTATTAAATAATTATTGATTACTCCTTAAGGTTTGATAATATTATATGCTATACGAGTTGTTAATGAAATCTATTTTGTTTCGCAGATTCAATTTACTGGCGCAAGTATGAACCCGGCTAGATCTTTGGGGCCCGCAGTAGTTCTCGGTTTTTGGACAAACCATTGGGTTAGTAGTAGGATTTAATTTACACTATTATATTATTGAACAAGTATAACGTTTAACCTCCAATGTACTCTGTGTGTCAAATTCGAGTAGGTATAAACGTTATTAAAATGTTTTGCTCGTTTTGTAAATCCGCAGGTCTATTGGGCTGGTCCGATCGTTGGCGGCGCACTCGGTGGACTCATTCATCATTTTGTACTAAAGCGCCACACAGAAGAGGCAAGCTCCTACGATCTTTGAACAACTATTTAATTTAATTTATTTTTTTATCTATACGATATATATATATATATATATATATATTTATTTAATTAATTTTTACATCTTATAAATCTTTTTTTAAATAGTATACATGTTAACAATACGTTTAAATATTATTAATCCGAGTTACCTATTCATAAATTATTTGTATTATTATACTTTTAAAAATCCTAAAATACGACTTATTAACTCTCTTATTTAACTTATTTTCCATTTTAGATGATATCAAGCCATCAGTTAGTTTCGTTGAATGCAACCTAGTTAATAAGTAATGGCGATAATAATATACTGTGCGTGATGATATACTGTTTGTTAATTTGTATTACCTATTAAATGAAATAAACATATTTTTTCAATTGTTTTCCCCTTAAAACTATTAATGACACACTAGTATAATATACACTAGTATGTACAGCCGCGATTGTATTTTGACTATCTAGCGCCTCGTGGTGTTTGTTTGGTTGACTCTACATATGTTATATAATATGTACCATATTTAGGTGGCTATGCTCATATTACGACAGGATATAGGTATATTTATTTAAAAGTCGATTCTATCTCAAGTGACTATTTCGATTCTAATTATGGATAAATGTCTTACCATTCACTGTACGTTGCTGTATAGTTTTCTTTTTCATAAGATTAATATTCACTACTACAACGACTATGTTAAGCTGTTATAAAACCGATTTATTTAGCACTCATTATTCAAAAAATAGATACTTAATACAACACCTATTTGACAAGGAAATAAACATTCAAAGGTCTTATGATGAAAACGTTTTATCGAATCGAATTAAGTGCGTACGAATTAATTTATCTTCTATAATAAAATGTTTAGTATTAGAGTATATTAGTTATTATACTAATACTTAGCTTAACATTGCTTACCTTGCTGAATAAAAAATAAGTATTTATATCTGCACCGTATGTGTTGTAGTTGATCTGTACGCTTTAGACTTTCTGAAATTAAATACAAAAATAAACATTGAACATACTAATTAGCGATTAATCGAAAAGAACAGTAGACCATATTTTTAGATTTCAATGCACTTCTCCGTTGTCAGAGGTTTAACGAGTTAAGATGTTGTATATTATATTATAAGGAACGTTGTTTTTAATAGCTTCTCTAGTACATAACTACTCAACTTTACTAAAAATATTTTCTAACGTGATGCTGGATGCCTCTCAAGAATCAACACGGCAATCCATGCATCATGTTTATTTCACCGTGTTAGGGATCAAAAATACATTTATACCTAAAAAAAGTATTCCTATCTCACCTTACACGTACACCAACATTCACAGAATTGTCAATAGACAAACATGAGCTTTTGTCTGATTGAAATATCGGTAAATCGTTCCATAAAAACAGCATTTTGAGTAGTGAATCCATATAATACAAACGAGTAACTTATCCTGAAATATCTTTTGGATGCACCGAAGAGAATGAAGTAAAGCTCAACACTCTAAAGTGAAAAATAACATTTGTTATGGGAAAATTGAATAAACATGTAAGACGACTAGCGTGTTGTATCCTAACACACTGATGTGTCAATATAAAATCCAAATAAAAGTTCACTGATTAATATGTCGATATAACGAACTCCAAAAACATGTTATCTATCGAAGTTTAAGATGTACTATGAATGGGAACTCTACATGAGACTCTAAACAATAGATATCTATGCTCGCAGCGGCTAAAATATAAGATTAAAATGATATCATGCAATAAAGACTGAAAATAAAAAAATGCATAAATATCAAATAATTTAAATAATCACCTGTATTTTTGAAACGGAACTGAACCTTACTAGCTAAAAGCCATTCTTTTTTTTTCTTAGGTTTTGCATACACAATTATTCATCTCGACAATGAAAAACGCGATTCTTAAATCCTAATGATTCTTTTCCATATAACCTGTTGAATACTATTCCTTGTTTGTTATAATTACTGCACAAATTAATATTAATTTATTTTGTGTAACAATTTTTGTTTAAAATACCTGACGGATAAACTCGGTGTACTATTAATAAAAACAAATGTATTTGTATCACTAAACCCATGACATTTATGACATAGTTAAACAATTAAACAATTAATGTTTTACATGATAATTCAATCTATGATATTTTTAAATTAAAAAAAAAAACTAATCTACCACAAAAATATTCATCGTTATCTAAAAAATTATGTTCAAACGAATGGCAAATATATGATATTATAGTAATTTTATAAAAATAAAGATTAAAAAATACTTCAGCCTACTGGAATAATGTTAAATTTTTAAAAATAACTTTTATAGTTATAACAGCTTGATACTTTTTCAATTATATTCATTTTAATCATTATTCAAAATTATATTACATGCTGGTATAAAAAAATAATTTGTACCGATAAAAAGTAATATTAGTATCCGTTACTATATAAATACAGGCTTTGTTTAAGTAGTCAATTATTACTTTTGTTGGTCAATTATTATAATTGTCAAATTATTTTTTTGTGATTTTTCTATTAAAACAATTCCATTAAAAATGACGAACAGTGTAAGTGGTACATTTAACCACCTGAAATTCGAAAACCAACTCATTCAAGTCTCGCCGGATGACCCAGGCAGTCCACTGTGGGACATCACAGAAAAGGTCATCAACTACTATTTGAGAGACAGGTGTTATAAGGTTAGTCTTCTTGATGATCAGAAACCATATTTTGCCAACAGCACCGTCTGATGGAAGTTATGGGCTATTATAGATTAATTTCATATTGTCAACTATTTCATAATTTCTATCGGTAGTACAATTTGTAATAAGTATTTGTTATTGCAGAGATGCGCTCAGTTGATATTGGAAAACGCCGAATTTTGGCAAAAATTCGGCGACGACGCATTTATCGTTGTCGTCATTATGATTGCATTCGGTCGTGGCAAGTACACCCGTACACAAGTTGGTACACTGTTGGGTGAATTGGTCCAGGTCAAAGTTCTGGACAAATCAACAGTGGTCAATGGGTATTTTTGACGTTTGAACACTAAATGAGTGTCAGTAAAATCACGAATTTATTGTTACACATCAATTTTTATAGGGTCTATAAAACGTTAAGAAACGTAAAAGCTGAACAAATGTTTCCGGACGCTGACGAATTCGTCGAAGAGATAAAGTGTGCATTTAAAGCCGTTCGTCAAGTTCGTTTTGCAAAACATAATGACGTGCGTTACTATAGCAGGTACGCTGTTAACTCTTTTATGACGTCATCTATATCAACTTATTAATTTCACGGTGAATATCCGATGCTGATAAACCATTTAGTTTAGTGTCTGCTATTGAGTTTCTCCGAAATATGTTTTGATTCTTTTTAAAGTTGAAAATTACCTCTCCGCTCACAAGAGGTCACGGGAATAACGTTAAAAGAATTGTCAGCAGTAATAATTAATCTTATAATATCCATGTGAATTGTTAAAAAACAAAATATGTAAAAAATATATTATTATTATGTAAAACTTCATATTATCGTGTAAAAATATATTACCTATTGTGTAAAATGTATATTGAGTGTATTTATTTATAATATTTGTAAATGAAATAAAATATATTATTATATGTATTTGTAGTTATATTTTTTTTCTTTTTCTGAAATCATTAATTTTTAATAAACAAACCAACGGGGTATATATTTAATATTACTAATAACATTTAACAATAATATAAATCCGCATGGTCAGTTAGATATTATTACTGTATGCATCATCGTATTGTTGAGGTCTTAAAGTATAACACTATTGTTAAAGCTGCTAGACCGTGGTTGTAGACCAATGGACATTGACTTTAGCACTAAATGTAGTTGGTTCGAAACGGCAGCGAAAAATTGAACTCGTGAGTATAATATATGTTTTATTATATGTGAATATTGAAAATAAACAATGTGAAATATAATATTGTAAATGCCTAATTTAAAAATTAACGAAAATACATTTTAACAAACTTCAATAATCCTATGTCAGTGTGGCCAAAAAGATGAAAACATAATCCTTCTGTTTAACAGTGTGGTCAAAGAAATTTGATCAGACAGCTCACATCTGCAATGTTATAACCACCAACCATTGTCAATCAACTACTTATTATCAGTACTTCTCATGAGTTTACGTTATTATTGTAAATAGCGTGTACAATATTTTCGGCGTTGTAATTTGCATTAAGTTTAAAATGAACGAATAAAAATATTAAAAATGAATAAACATTTTAATTGTAAAAATATTCAAATAATATTATTTGATTATTGGCGAATAAAAATGCAATAGGAACAATGAGAATCGTAAAATAATTAATAACTGCTTTCATTGATCAATGATCGACTCATATTTTTATTTAATATAATTTATCAATAGCTGTTATCAAATAAAGTTTATCAAACTACTAGAAAAAATGTATTAAATTGAAAAAAATCAGGTAAAATCATTGAATATCGAATATCAAATCGTTTTTACATTAAAAATAAATAAATGTCTACTCTATTCTACTACCAAATAGATAACTATTAAAGAATATTATATTATTCTCTCCAAGCTGTCTTCAAGAATCAAATCTATCCCTCCCTGGAATATATTTGAGCGAGTATAGTACAGATATTTTTTATTACTACAAAGAAATTTGACCTTTTTCTATGTTTTTTTTTTTAACCCAATCGGGTCTTAAATTTTCTCTCGCATATCTTATTATTATTATTTAAATTACTTACAAATTTGGGCTACTGTCAGACTACAAGCCGCAGTAATATCAATACATCGGTTAGGTTAGGTTATTTTTATTTATAAAAGCAAATACTAGAACAGTGATCGATATTTTCTTCTCAGTAGTATAGGATAATCGCTAATAATTGTGCAATGTCAGATTATGTTATTATATTGGTCGTTGAATATTGTTTTTGAAGACTATATTATAACAAACATGACAACACGTAGATTTTAGATTTGTAACAAGACCGTAAACATTTAAAATGGACCAATGCATGCCTTCCTCGGCTAGGTTTGTGTTTATTTTACAACAAAATTATGGTACATAATTATTGCATAATTACATTATTGTATCATTAGTATTTAATAATGGAGAACGGACATTGGTCATTACAATAATCTAGGACCGATATAAGTTACCATTAACTAGAGACGAAGCGGTCCGATTTGCTGTCATCCATAAAAATAACTAATAATATATTAGCAATAAGAATATTTAAATATTTCAACATACAAAAAAAAAAACAGTACAGTGGGGTCGGGGCATAGTGGGGACGGGGAGGTCACAGATTTACAGGAATTTTTAAATCTGAAAGTGATAAAATCACTTTCGAAAAAACGCTTCGATGCAAA